TATAATATATAATAATATGTCATATTATGGTAAAATAATTACCCACGCATTAAACATTTACTTAAATAATATTGTACCTAATTTCCCATTTTCTCACAACTTTAGAGGATACTCCAGGGAAAATCAAAAAATGATGAAAAATAAATATATATTTTTATATAGAGCTAATAACTGAAGCTATCAACCTCATTGGCCATTACAACATCAGATCCCCTCCTTTACAGGTGCCCCATATCTACACCTTTTTCAAATTACACCTTGCATTCAGTCTTACAAATTGAAATAGTTCAAGCAACAAACACTTCTTGCAAACTTACTCTAACCCACTATACCTAATCCTTGTTTTAACTCCAAATCTGCTTGAAAGGCTAAAGCAGAACTAGTGCTATAACCTAAAATAATAATTAACCTACCCTTGCTCATATGTATGGCCACCAGATAATTGTTTGTCATGTTGTGTTGTAGGACATAAGTACTTACATAATATTATATAAATATATTTATTTTCCACTACTTTTGGACATATCTAGTGGATCCCTCTGTACTAAATGAGCCCAACTCTGGAGTTAGCTGGAGTTGTTTTATAAGTGGATTGAAGTTAGGTTTAATTTCAATATGAATCTAACTATGTTGTTTTCTGGTAGGGGATATTTTTTTTAGATTTGTACATATACATTTAGATTCTTTAAATGAAATCAGATGAATGAGATTTTGTATATGCAGGGTGTTATTATGAAAGATGTGACTTTTAAGCAGTGATATAAATTGATCTGTGCAAACTTATCTTTTTGCACAACCAAAAAATTATGAAAATTTTTATACTACCTTCAATTCTTTTTTCAAAAGTAAATATTTGTTTAGTAGATAAAAACAAATTAAATTTTGGTTGATATAATTTTTTGATTTGACAACAGTGATGCTCATAGAGGTTTCCAAATACCTTTTTACTTGGTGCGTACTACAAGTGGTCCGAGGTGTAGTATCTAATCTTATACTTAATCCAATGGCTTTCAATGTCTACTGCTAGGCTCACCTTACATATTAAATATAATATTTTAATAATTAATAGTTTTTTTATAGATCAAATAATACAATAATTTATGTTTTTTGAAAAAAACAATATCATAAAAAATGAAATGAATGTTTTATTAGGCAGGATTTACCAAAAAAGTGGAGTACCTGCGAGTTGGAAAATTAAATATTTCACTGCATGCCAGAAATAAAGTCCAATTTACACATAATTTGAAAAATTCTCAATAGCAGTAACATGTTACTGCTTTTAAAAATTTCAACTTTCAATTCCTATTTTTTCATGATCAAATTTTAGCATGTGTAATAAGTGTATTAAAACCCATCATAATACAATACTATTGTATTACAATAGTATTCAGTTATTTATTATTCTCCATATTTCTTTTTTCTCAGAGGAGAAAGGATTATGTCAATTTTTAGTTTTCTCTTTATAATTATATCTCATGTTGTAATTCTTTCCTATTTTTTTTTTTTTTGTTTAATATGGTATATTAAGTTTATGTATATTTTAACAATTTTAACACGTTATACTGAACAATTTCAATATCCCAAGTCCTTCCCTGGGACCAATGATTTTTATCATAAAAAATAGAAAGGGGGAATTCTGTTACTCACAAGTGTTATTTTTCTAACCACTAAATAAAAATTACATATATGTATATTGAATCAACTTCATTGTATGAAAAAATGTTAATTGAAAATTACAAACAAAAAAAAAAAAAATATTAATATTTTAAGTAGCTTAAAACAACAATAGTTTAGTTGATTAATTATAGTTTATTCATACCTAATGCAGTTTTTTGTCTGGAAGTACCCAGAGCATATTATTATTATGATTCACCACTTGAAATACTTTTTAACATTTTAAGTACTACTTATGTAAACGTATTATGTCATTACTGAATTTGTTTTTTTTGAACATTTATATACATTTACATTAATGTAAATTGTATAATATTGGCTATAATAGGTAGGTTGTGTTTTAGATTCTAATGGAAAGGTTTTCCAGTTTTATTATAATTTTAAAAATATTGAGGCTCTTTTAGTTGTTTACTAACTATAGGTAAATTAAAATTTATTACCATTACGAGTTTAAAATGATTATTTATTGTATATCTAACCTTAAAATTATTTTCACTCTCAGATAGCCATAAGCGCTATTTGTATATATGTTCTGAAAGTTGAGTTATGCTCTGGGTTATGTCATATTCTAGGGGTGCAATATTATTTAATAACTAAAAACCTAAGTGTTCTATGAAAAAATAAGTAGAAATTTACCCATGTTGATTATTTGAGTCTAGAAAAAATGTTTAACAAAAAATAAGTATTTTAAATTGGATATTAAGCAAATTTTAAATTTAGTTATACATTTAATTTTAAACTGATAGTTTAGTTTAGATCAAGATTTAAAATGTAATGTCTAGGTATATTATATAAAATAACTAATTTACTTTGTTACAAGTATAGCGTAATGAAATAAATTAATGAATGCATTTACTTTATTTTAATATTTATAATTTAATATAATGTATTAAATTAAAAATATTTATTAAGATTTAGCAGGCTAGCAATAGATGGCTGTCAAACACTGTTCGTTTACCCTACTGAATTCTGATATCAATTTTCAATTTGAAAACCATTTAACTTATTGAAGGATAACATGTTTTTAAAAAAAGCACAAAAAATTTGAATAAGCAATTATAATTATGGTTATTTAAAATAAATATATTTGTTTAATGATTTAAATTAATAATAAAATAACAAGTTAATAATAATAACAAGTCAAATATAGGTTACTTTACTTTTATAATATTTATTTTTTGTTTAATCAGATAAGTATAATATTATAACAACAATTATTAATAGCACAATATTTGAATACAATAATTATTATTATTAAAAATAATTGGAACATTTGTTTAAAATGTTTTTAATCTAAAAAAATAACAAGTCAGACTTAAGTTACTTTATTTTTATAAATACACAATAATTGCTTACCCTTTCCAAAACATATAAAGTCGAAATTTAAGTACATTGTCATTGTTACTAGCTAATTTCAAATTGATATGATAATCAAGACTCCAGAGGCATGATTTTCATTTGAATAAAATACACTATGAGATATTTGTTATTAAGGTTTAACAAGAGATGGAACACCTGGAGATATATCAATGGGCATAACAGATTCTAAGTTGTTTTTCAATAATAATAACCAAGCAGCAATTGTCTGATCTCTGTTGATACACTCGGCAAACGTAGACATGTCTTTTAATTGATCTGGCAAACATTGGCGAAGAGCTTCCCGAGCTCTTAAACAGAAAAAGTAACAATTTTGTTTTTAAATTATTTACTCTGTATGTAATCAATGTAAATTCCACATTTGAACACAATCACAAATTAATATAATTTCAAAAATTAAGTGAATGAATCATTATTAATTTATACCATAATAATAAGATTAGTAGAAACTATATGCAAAATGCTTTTTTTTTTTATTAATATTCAACAAAATGGTCTCTGATCAAGAAATTCTTTCTTCAAACAAATTAGAAACTTAATTTTTAGTTAGCATTAATTTGAATTACTATTAGTATTTTATGTATTAGAAGAAAAATTATCAAATTAACTAGTTGTAATAAAAAGTAATAATTAGTTTTAAACAAAATAAAATGTTTCATTTATTTTAACTAGACAAATTGTTGTGATAAAATATAATCTGCTTTAGGTTAAAATATTCTATGCCAAATCATTTTTCCTATTATACTCAAACTTTTTTTCAAATAAATTATTGTAAAACACTATTGATATTAATTTTATGATGTTTAACATTTAAGAATTTATAATATATTTTAAAAAAATAGTAGAGAATTTTATTCCAAATAATATTGTGCATTCAAATATGCTTAAATTGTTTTTGTTGATAAAATTGTTTTTGTTAATAAAATTGTTTTTGTTAGTAAAATTGTTTTTGTTAGTAAAATTGTTTTTGTTAGTAAAATTGTTTGTTTTTCAAAGTTTTTATACCTTGAGTTTTCGGATAATCGAACATAACAACCAACAACATGTCTTAGTAGTCTGGTAGAAGGTTCTCTTTCAAGTGCTAAAACCATTTTTCCCTGGAAAATGTATTAAATACAATATTTTGTTGTTTCCAAGGCAAAAAATGCATACCAATATAAGAGCAACATGGGAAAACCGATCATATGTTTGACAAATATAATTTAAACCATTATCATCCATGAGGATTTTTTGTAATATAAATGTTGATAATGTTTTAGTCAATTCAAAACCTGTTTCCATAATACGTAAACATAAAGGAATTATTTCAGTGGTGAGTAAAAATGTTATAACTTCCTGTTCTTCTGTCTAAAAATGAACATAACCGTCATTCTATTAAAATTAATTGTGTTATCAGTAAAAGTAATTTTATTTTTTACAGCTCTTACTTTATTTTTAAACATAGGCTTATGATTATTATGATTTTATGTTTAAAATGTATGTATAAATATTTTTGAATAATTTACCTTTACTAAAGCTCCAATAACTCCCAGACTTGTAAGCCTAAGATGTTCAAAATTACGGCATTTGTTAGCATTGTGTAGAAATGGATACATGTATAATGGAATCTGTGCTTTGAGAAACTGTGAACGTGTTTCTGGATGTGATCCGACTGATTGAAGTAAAGCCAATGCATTACAAAGCCGTGTCACCTGTTGAAGTGACATGGTTGGAGGATTTACAAACTGATAAGTAGAAACAATTTCAAATAATAATGAAGCTATAGTGCCAGTCGAATACCATAGCAATGGACCAAGATCATGTATGATTTCTCGCCTTGAGCTAAAAAATAAATATTGATTGTAGATAAAATTAATAAATAATAATTATTTACAAAAACGTTAAATCACACCAAATCATATACAAAATTTGAAAATTAATTTTAAAAAAAAAACTTAAATTTGATAATATATATGTATACAGTGTCTTACAGTATTATCTGAATGCTAATAACTCAGTCAATATTTATGTTTTTTTTTTCAATCAGTTTACATGTTAAAGGGAAACAAATATAGGGATTAATTAAATTTTTAATTTCATCCTTCACGTTAAAGAAAAAAATTAACTTAATTTTTTAAATTTTCAAAATAGATATTTTGTAAAAATATATTATTCCAAGAATTTGAATAAATCATACATTCATATCCAATCAATAGTTTCTTAGTAATAGCAGTTTTAATTTCTAACATAAGATAACAAACCGATAGTTTGCTATCCCATAATGTCTTCTTCTTTTTTCACACATTTTTAAAGATACCTATTAAAATGGCTTATTGCTAAGAAATTATTGATAACATATAATATAATATATTATGTATGATACATCAACACTTTTAGAAAAATTTATTTTACAAATTGACTATTTGAAAATTATAAAAAGTGAAAAAATAAATATTGACAGTCATTAATATTAAGATTACACTGAATGTCGTGCTGTTTATAAACAAATTTAATTTCAAATAATTTTACTGAAATTGATATAAATAAGAATAAGAATGAAAGCACACAATATCAACATTATTTTATGTTACCTACTTAGAATTTAAATTGTGGTAGTTAGATTAAATTAAACTAAACAAAGATGAAAAAAATGTAAAGAGGAAAGTATTTTTGAAGGAAACTTTTCTAAAATATTGTCAAACAATAAAGTTACCTACAGCCATGGTAGTCTTTAATTACTGTGAAAAATAGTCATGTCCTTTCAGCAAAGCAATCAGTAGAACACAATTATTGTTCTCACCTATATAAGCGCTAATTGAATATACTACATTATTAATTAATTAAAAATTGAATTTGAATGTTTTCTTTAAAAAAAATTGCATGTTTTGTTAACTTATGAAAAAGTTCATAGAACAATGGTTAAAACCCTATGTATTAAATAAACAAAATTATTTAGAAAATAAAACACATTAATATAAAATTTCAATATAAAAAAAAAGATTTTATAATAATTATTTTAAATATAATTATATAAATACTTTAAATTAATACAAAAATTTAAAAATTATAATAAATAAATTAAAAAAATAAGTATTAACATTAAGTTGCTGTAACTCATGCAATTTTTTACATTTTTAAATAAAATCCATATAAATAAAGAACTGTAATATCTTGGGGTTTCTTTAAAATTAAATGAAAAAACCTAATTGATTAGGATTAACTTGATTTAAAACATGACTGAATTACAGATATTGTTAATAAAAGGTTATACATAATCAGGTTATAAACATTATAACTTAATAGGAAGAATTTGTTACAATTCACAGTGATCAGTAACGGATTTAGGAAGATACTCTGAAAAACTATTGATTTAAGTAATTGTGAATTATAATAAACATTTTGTGGGTCCAAATAACAGCCAATAAAATTATTGTTGAATTTAGTTAAGTCCAATTAGACACAAAAATACAGTATAAAAGTTAATGATGCCTCTCCATTATTAGACTGCCAACTAATAGAAGAATGGTAGCAATCATGTTGCCATTAATGCACATTTTTAGCAAAAACTTAATAAGCAACATTTTGATAAGTACAATACAATTTTAAGTAGCATATATAAATAATTTAAACAGTAGATCACACATTGAAATTTTAATTTAAGTTACGTAATTATCCTATGTTGTCTGTTAGGTGGACTGAGACATGTACGTGTATCACATCCTCTTAAGTATATAAAATAGTCTTGTCTTTAAATGTTGTTAATTGTGCTTAAACCTAAAAAAAAATTCTATGTAATGTAGTTGAGTTTGATGGGTAATAGTTAGACCAAGCCGATAAATGTGAGTATTGTCTTCACCAATACATTACCTAAATTAAACAAAAGATAAAATTATTAAAAAATATATGAGGAGAAATGTTTAAGGTTAACAATGAATAGGGAACCTAAGGTAGTATATAACAACAATTAATTATGTTGGCATAAGGATCATTACGATTTTGTTACCTACCTGAGTTCAGATAATGCGTTTTCTCGGGTCTCTGGACTGCAAAGTTCGACAATCCATTGGTAAACTTTCTCGCGGTCGTGTGGTCCTTGACCAAGTTGTTGGGGCATTTGCACAGAGTCCATTTTAAACATCAGGCGGCTGTTTTGCGAAACGGTCGTAACTAAAAATGTTAAGTACACTAAGTAATTGGATAAGTACGACGGAATTTGTGTACCTAATAAAAATAATTTAAGTACAAAGATCAAAATATTATATTTTATCAATAGTATAATTAAGTAAAACGATAAAAATGCGTTAAAAAAATAATATTAAATAAAATTAAAAAAAAAGTTCATTATAGTTTTAACCGACCATACACTTAGTTATTTAATATACAACATCACAAATTACAACGTCAACAACCATGACAAAATTTTGTCATGTTTTATATATACTACCACGGAGAAACTATGAACCGCTAATCAGGGATGTATTAACTAGGTCATAGTTAGAGGGTCCATGGAATGAATTGTGGGACGCCTAACTAAATTATTGCACTCGTTCATAGCGACGCTTGTTCCCCAGTTGATAATCGTACACTAAACTGATAACAGACCCAAGTTTAATTTAATTTGAGTTTTTTTTTAGTTTTCAAGTTTGTTTTATAATATTGTTGACCGACTGTTTTTTCGGTGTGATTTTTAGTTATAATTTGTTAAGATAATGATATTATGAAGTATGTTCAAGATTTTCACCACCCATTTATTGTGTACTCAATTGAATAGTTTTTAAAAGTTTTCTAGGCATGTTGGTTGTAAATATTTTCAAAACATTGAAATTATCAAGCTCGTTTGGTAGACCAATCAAAGTACATTTTAGTACAAAAATTAATGAGAAAAAATCAAAATTAAAACGAGATTCCCTTTTTGAAAATAAAACCAAATTAACAAATGGATTTGATTCAAATAAAGACGAGAAATATAATGAATGCATTAAAAATGGATTAACTCTTAATGTAATTTCAACTAATAACTGGCTGTATGATATGCATATTGGTAAGTAAAATGCCAAAAAAAAGAAAATAATAAGTTCATGCAGATATTTAACGTAGGTATGTTTACTTTTGATTTGTAATTAGTTCATTTAAGGATTGGCCTAAAGTTGCTGCACAAATGGAAGCCTAGACATATTGATGACTTGTTGTTACTCTTACAACTGCCTATGACTAGGCTATCATATCTTACTAGAAAAACCATGATAGAATCAAATATTGTTCCTCAAGGAAATAGAGTATATTATTTTGCAGACAATTTTGAGGTTTGAATAATTTTTATTTTTAAATATTGATTTTCATATTAACCATTGGGCAGACACATCTGTGAAGGCATTTACACTGTACTTGAAAACAATCAGCGTACAATTATTCAATACATTCTGAGGGCTTATTGGCACTTATAAGTCACAAATTTTTAGGACACTTAATGTTGAATGGATATCAAGTTTAAAAACTAAATATTATGATTGCCCTAGAGCTCCAATAATGGTTAGCATAGTACTATAGTACTATATGTACCATATATAGTTAAAAACAAGGGTAATGCTATAACATACTCACTGATTTGAGCTGATTTTGCACAACCGCCCAAAAGTCAATGTGTTTTTCAGTTAACTACTTATATTTCTTTTTTATTATTTATATCTATGTGATAAAGGCTTTATTTATATTATAATTAATAGTACACTGATATAGTCTTTATTAGGGTGCATACATTTTAAATACATTTACTTGAAGTACCTAAGTACTTAAATCAAAATATCATAATATGATTTTAAAAAAAAAAAGTGAATTTAATGTTATTCATTATCATTTATAAAATTTTACTGAATTTGTAATTTTATTATTAATTTTCAGAAAAAACCTCAAGAAACTTGTACATACATGATGCATTATAAATTTTTATTCACACGACATTTTTTGACTGTTGACGGAATATTCAAGCTTCTAATGGGTAATTATTTTTAATAATCAATACACATTATACAATACAATTTTTTTGTTATTATATGAATATTACTTGCGCTCAGTAAACATAAAATACCAATAATAAATTAAAATTTAAAAAAAAAAACCTAATTTTAATTTTGTGTGGGCATTTAAAACTAATGATATTAAATAATCCATTATTTTTTATTTCAGAAAACAAGGTTAATAAAAATGATATCTGGAAAGATGCCTGGATATTTTTGTATAGCCCTGACCAAATTTTACAAAGACTTACTCGTACCAAAGAAGCCAATATTATTCCTAAACCTTGGATGTTTAGGTGTCCAGAGAAAGTATTTGATAGGTAAATATTTTTATTTTTTATTAATTTTTCAATTGTTTAATTCTTTTTCTTAGGGAAGGTATATGTCTCATAACATATCAGTTTTTCAGAGATTTTTTTCACTAAGTGACTTTAAAAAAATAGTTATGAAGAGTTACATTTTTTGTACTTAATTACAATTAAAATTATTGTTGAATGTAATTTTTTAACATGAATAGTTTTTTTTTTCTTGGTGTCAAAAATATTTTGTGTAAGTCTAATTATGATATAATTTACTAACTACATGTTTAATAATAATATTGTAAACCTAATATCTACATGTATTAATAGTCCTAACTTTTTTAAATCTTAGTATTTCAATATATTTTTAAAATTATCTCTTATTACATCAAAAAATTCCTTAAAAAGTTAAAACACTGTAATGAATGGAGTATTAAAGCTTAAATCAAGTATCACAAGTTGAAAAACTGACATATTATTTATGAACTATATGTATTGATATTTTTCAAATTTAGAAATTATTTTTCAGCCGAAAACTATTAATGATTTTTGTATTTTAATGGCAATATCTTCTTTTATTATTATTTTTTGTTTTTAACAAATTTTTAAAATATAAGGATATTTTTAATTTGTATCTATAAAGTACTTAAAAATCAAAATATATATATAGTCACTTTTGAGTCATTTTCAAAAAAGGTTATTGTCATTTATTTATGTTTTTTTTATATAACATTAGTAGTTATGAGGCCTACCAGTTGTATCTTAAAAATATCAAAATATTTATCATGTAAATGTTGTCTGCATATTATGCTTTATGCACAAATTATGACATAATTGTATTCATAACAGTATTTAAATTTTAAACTTGTTATGTAGGACTCTAACAATAAAGCAAGAAAACAGAGTAATCCTAAATAAAGATTCAACAGCACAATATTTAGCTAAACGATTAAAAGTAACTGAAAATAAAATTGCCTATATTTCTTTAAAATATCCTACAATATTGCGGGTAAATCCAACAAAATTAAAAGAAATTTTGGACTTTTTACTTTCTGAAGGATATAATTCATCAGAAATATTAAATGTTCCTCGTGTGTTTACACACAGTATTTCTACTTTACAAGTCAGTTATTGTTTTTATTGTTATTATAATATTTTATTAAATTTGTTTAGCATTTATAAATAATTGACTTATATAATTATTACATTTACAGGACCGGTTAACCGAAATCAGAGACCTGAATGGAAATGCTTCTATAACTAACTTGTGTAAAAACAAGTCCTCTTACCAAGAATTAATTGGCAGATTAATTATAAAAACTACCAAAGAATCTACAAATTTATAAGCTTTGAATAATTTGCTTTTTGTGCTAAAATACAATTTACAATATATGATATGTATACCATATAAAAAGTCAATTATTATATAATTGAATTAAAAACTTAATTATTTTTGAATAAAATAATAATAATATTTATTAATACCTATGTAAAAATTTGAAGGGATAGTTTAATTTTTCTCTACATAACAACTATTAAGAGTGACTTCAAAATATCTCCAATAAAAATATAATTTTGTGATTAAAATATATTACTGTTTGTGGTACTTATTATGAATTATTTTACCATTTATTATACTATAGGCAACTGAGTTATACAACAAAATACCTATTTATAGAGATAATTATGATGATTGTACTTAGTACTTCCATCAATAGCCCGCTTACCAAATATAGATAATTTAATTTGATTATAACAGTTTAGAGCTGTACAATAGGTATCATAGCAGTTTGTGTTTTAATTTATAATTATAAACAAGAAAATAGAATATTAATGTTCACTAAAAAAAAAATATTAACACACTTCATATATTTTAAAATTTGGATGGCAGATAGAACATTTTGAGTAAATAGTTCTGAAAGTATTTTCTCAATTGTATACAATATATGATTATAAATACATGATTATAAAAATAGAACAACTATTCCGCTTATCTATGTTTTCCAATTGACTGATAAATTTGTATAATGGAATAGGGATTAAAAAATATAAGAATAAGTATTAATAAAAATACTATAAAAAGTATTAATAAATAATAAAAGAATAAGGATTAAAAAATAATAACCCAAACTTAAACCCTTATTCCATTATTACTAATAGATTTGAAAAGGCATTTTAAACAGTGTTTAATAATATATTTCTGCAAACAAAGATAAAAGAATATTCTTTTCATTACAAGTATAACATTTAGCAGCTTTGGCATTTGTATCAATAAAAAAACACTACAAACTATTTTGAAACATTAGTTGATTCAACTTATTTTGTTGAAAATGAAAATGATTTATTATTGTTAGCCCGCCTAAATTTCAAGTCAGTATGTGGAATTACTATGAGAGAATTTTAAAAATTAACCTCACACTAAAAATTCACTTAGAGATGTATTTAATTCAGCTTTAGAAGCAAATCATGGATGTTTATCACATTTTTAAACCAGAAACAAGCTTTACAAGAGGTATAACACAAATAAAAATTATTGAATAAAATTAATTTTATTAAAAACTGAATACATTTAGAATTAAAGTTAGAAAAATAATTTCTGGTTGCCCAGTCTCCCCCCCAAAAAAATATATATATATAAGAATCATGATGAAATGGTATAGAATATTGTGAAAAAATTCAAAGAAACCTCAGCCCTTCATTACCAAAAAGAAATTGCACACAACCTCAAATCTTAAAATTTGTTTTATGTAAATAATATTTATTTATTTAATTAATTTTAAAAAACATGATAAAACTATTGGGGGGAGCATTGTTTAGGGATTTTTTTTTCAAATATATAATATTGAAAACAATTTGAGAGAGAAATTTTATCTTATACCTAACCCTATAATGAGTAGAATTTAGGTATATGTTTGATTAGATTGTATGTGTTACAATTAAAGTTTTGAATTAGTTAGCTTATGAAAAAAGAAAACAGTATAAGTAATGTACCTATATAATTTATACTTTAACTTATTATAGTATACATTTCCACAATTTACACAATCAATGTGTAGATATATAGATGTATAGAATATTGTACTTAATTTTATTGTTCCAATACAACATAATAATAGATCAGATAAGATTGGCATCCTTATTGTCAGTATACCTTATGTTCATGTATGCATATGCAGTTATGCAATGCTATTTATGAAGGTAGGGGTGATCTGGTAGTATTTAATCTGCAGAAATGAATTTGAATGACGATAAAATTTTGGAATTCGTAAAAATATCCGACCTAGAATTTGATGATGATAATAATGCCAATCCTACTTATGTTTTACGAAATCACCTTAATAATATTTTGAGCGAGTCTAGGGAATCTGAAAATGATGAAGATTGAAGATGAATTAGCAGACGATTAACTTGAATATGTTTGTTAAACATCAACAACTGAACAAGTAATTGTCGACAATAGTATTACGGATAACAAAAATAGTGATAGGTACATGGATTTTCAAAAAGGTAAAGTAGAGAAAACAATCATTGACATTCAAAAATGTTCAGAAAATCTAACCTGTAGGTCCACTTATATATTTCAAAAATATTTTTCAGAAGAACTATATGAACTGAATGCGTTTTGCTCAAATCAATATTATATGGCAAATACGGGTAAAATGTTAAAGACACCTGTAAACTTGTTATTAAATTAACAGGATTTTGTGCACCAATTAGACCCAAAATTCAACAAAATAGCTCTTTTGTTATTTTTTGATTAAAATAATATTTTTAGTAGAAAACATAGCGTGTAAAAATTAAAAATAATGAAAACGGAAACTACGCTGTAAATATTTGTCCATTTTTTCAAAACGTTTTTTTTCCAATTATATTGAAAACACGTTAGAAAATCAAAAAATGACCCAATTGCACCAACTAGATCCAAAATTAAACAAAAAAGTTCTCCTGTCATTTTTTGATTGGACCTAGATATCTTGTAAAAAAGTTAATCGCAAGCACGAAAAAAAAAGAAAAACACACACATCATCTGGATCATAGCAAACCTAAACCTATATTACCTATACGCTCTGTTCAGACTAGTAAAAAAAAATATAATGTTATTTTAGTTATCTAACTATTGCCCCTTATTAAAGTTCGCTTAATTTATCTACAGGTAGTGAAAGGATAATGACGTTCTCTCGGTTTCTCCTTCTTTCGAGGACATTGCCCCCACTGGCTCTCTTCTTTACGTTACGGATTGTGGTACTAAACAACCTACAGTAGTATATTAAAACAAAACAAAAATGTACCTACTTAATGTATTTAGGTACGCATTCTCGTAGTTCAGAAAAGATTCTATGAGATTTGTATTTTTCGACGCGTAAATGCATGATACCTACTAATAAGGAAGGTTTATGTTATATTTTTTATATTTCCTTATCGTCAACAGCAGTGCTCGAACGACACGGATAAAACCACTGGCGGAGCGATGAAATTTTCGAGCGTTGATAATTTTATGGAGAATAATGGTTGTGTAGCATAGAATTTTGTATGAATAAACAGGTAAGTGCGTTAGGATTACGTATATAAATAAAAAATTACACAATTTTTCCATTGTTATAACCGTCATTTGTTACATTATGTAATTGTCATTGGGTATAACTTTAAAATGTAGCGTTAAGTCTCGTAGTCTCTAATTATGACACACTGCACGGAAAAATATTCGAAAGTAATTACCCATAGGTAGGTAGGTACCTACCTACAGGGCCGTCAAATAAACGAAATATAAAATTATTTTTATTATAATTATACATTTTTTTCGAATACGAAACTTCAAATCCAAATAAATAGCGTGAGGTAAAGAACCCTTGCTCACTCTCCAAAAATGACCCTGCCTACTTACTATTATTACTATTCAAAAATAAGAAAAAATAAAATAATTTTAACTATTCGTATTATTTTATAGCCAGAATATAATATCAATAGTAATATAATTACGCCTAATTATAATTATAATTGATTGCTAAACACCATTTATTATAGATTATAATACCTATGTAGATGATGAACAATGACTGCAACAAAGCATCCTACAGTAGATTTTTTTAAATTTACATTATTTAATGTCATACCAATATACTTTATTCAATTAAGCTTATATTTTTTTATTCTGAGCTCTTGTCATTTAAATAAAATTATAATTAATTTAAACTTAATAATTTAAAAAATGGTAGGTAAAAATTATTTTTCTTTAGATTACCAAATACAAACACTGTTAAACACCATACAGTGTCCAATATTGTAGGTATAGCAATAAAAGTTATTTTGTATAAAAAGTTGAGAAGGTAGGTACATACAATTTATATCCATAAACTATGATAAATCATTCTATTTAAATACAATCCAGAGCAAAGTTAGACTTCATATTTTGTAACTTTTACGATTTTTGTCAACATTTGAACTTAAAACGCTTATAAAAAAAATTAAATTCAATATATTTTTATGACTAAGTTAAATTTGTAATGAACTCTGTGTTAAACTTCCTTTGCCAAACAATTTTATCCATATACTAAATAAACTTTTTTTTAAAAAAAGAGCAAATTCAGATAACTTTTAACCAAATTACAACAAAAACCAAAATCGAAAATAACATTAACATTACTACTATAAACATTCCCTTATTTTCTATATTTTTGTTTTATTTTCCCTAATTATTCAAAAAATCAAAAAAATAACCGACTTATTCACCAATAAGATGCAAAGTGCAACAAAAAAAATCTGCTTTTTTTATTGGAGCAAGATAACTGATAAAAACCTGGTTTATAAAAAAAAACATCATACATTTTTAACTACCTAATACAAAATTGTAAACAAATGTTTATTTAAAACTATTGTTACTACAAGTATTTGCTTTTCATTAAAAATATTTTTACAGATTAAACAAAAATGTTTTTTTTTTTAATATTTAATATTTGTGACAAATATATACCCTAATTAATAATATGATTTAATAAATAAATATATTCCTTTTTTTAATCATTAGAAAATTTAAAAAAAAGTTTAGAAAGTTTAAACAAATAGATAAGAAATAAATAGATAGATAGAACTGACAAATATGAAATATTAAATTTTATAAAATATTTATAATCATAAATTATAATACCTTAATTACTTTTTTATCAATATACTGCTTTCACAAAGTAAAAAAAAATTGAATCTTTTAATAGAAAAGTACACAGTAAAATATTGGTTGGTGGCATTTTTCCTCATATTTATCAATTAATTGATCAATATCGTTGTCCAGATCGCCACTTCTGGAAAACTAAAATAAACACAAAGTGTATCAATACATATAATATAGATAGTATTAGTAGATGTTAAAAATGGCAGATATTTGAAGAAAATAAAAATCAAACATATTTGACAAATTTAAGTCCCTATAGTATTCAAATTAATGAATTGTAATTTCAAAACCGTTAAAAAAATCAATAAATACATTAAACACTAAATATTGTAAAAATGAATAATAATACAATATTTAGTATAGTAATATTATATAATATTTTATTTCATTGAATAAAATATAATAAATATAATATATCCTGGTAATTACAAACAGGTTGACAAATATAATAAAAATTATTTCCTTTAACTTTAAAACATAGTTATTTGAATTACTATACATTTATTTAACTTAATTTCCAAGCCAGTAAAATTTGATTCAAAATCTCTATCATGTCTTAAGAGAATAAATAATTTACCACCATTTAGTTATGTTTAGTAGGATAGAAATTAAATAAAATTAAACATTTTTATACAAAAAATGAAATTAGTTGAAACAAATGGCTATTAAATAATAACTGCTGAAGATGATGTAATTGAATACATACTTATACATAAAGTAAATTATACTGAAATTAGAATTTATTATCTCACCAAAGATACTAATTCACAAATTAGAAAAGCACCAAGAGTTGCTTCCTCGTGGTTATCTTGAATATCAATATTGACTATATGTACTGGCTTATTGCCAAAGCTTTGCAAACTTTCGAAATCTTAACATAAAGAATATAATGATATAATTAGTTTGCCATGTATAAATTAAATTATTAATGTTAACATACACTCAAGTACTTGATCATATACTCTTTCTTCACAAGTAATGACTACGCTAAATTGCTCCTTACACTCTTGAAATCTTTCTGGATATTGCTTTATCCTTCGATTTCTATCTAACATATTTAATAAACCATTTTGTGTGTAACTAAATACAAATTAGTTAAAGGAATAATTAACCATAAAAAAAAAAAACACAAAATCTAAAGTTTTATTAGTGTAGTAAAACTACAACTATTCTTTTTTATCAATAATTTCAGTGATTATGTTCATAATAATATTATTGCATAGTCAGTAATAGTTAATTATTTAATAATAAAACTCATAATTTAACAAACTCTATTTAATTCTTATTTAAAATAATTTATAAATTTGTGAACAATTTACAATTATTAAGATGGTACTTTTATGTTTTTTTATTTATAACCTTGAATATGAAACAAGTTATGAACTTGACCTTATATGATCAGTTCCAAACCAATACCAAAAGTTAGCAAATAATAGCAAATCTTTTTTGAAGTTAACAAGTTAAAATTGTATTTTTGCTAAATTTGTTTAGTTATTTCTCCAGTCCATTCGCAGTACTCTAATTAATTCCAATATTCTCCAAGTCAACTTAATATGAGTTTTCATTTTTAGTTTGTTTAATATTATGCTAATTAATCACCTGTTATCCCTACTATTTTTGTATTAATTATGAATGATAATGAAATGTTAATTGTATGCATACATTATTTCAATGTAATTTCTCATCTACTTATCCGTAGTATACAGAGATATAAAGAAAAAAAAATAAAACATTTTTTTTTTCAACTTATCTTTTTCTTGTATCAATAAAAATAATTTTGGTATTAAAAATCACGGAGGCATATTCTTTTTACCCTTAACAGTATATTGCTTTACTGTCTATAGCATAATATTAAAATATAAAATATTATTTTTTTAGTTTAATTATTCTTTGATGTTATGCATGTGGATTAGCTGTTATGTTTAAGTTTCTTTTTTCCTTAGGTCAGTGTTTTTCTCCCATTCACTAAATCCTTGATCAAGTAAGTCATGTAGTGAAATGTGCACAAATAGACCTTATTACTTATTTTTGCTATTTAAGTTAATTGATTTTTTTAATACACATAATTATACAATACTAGGATATTTTATAGGAGCACAAAACATGAAAAATAAGTTTCTGTTAATTTGAGATAATGTTCAATTCTTAAGACAAGAGTTAAAGTATTATCTTTCTAGTTACATTATTCAATGAGTTATGAGAAATTGAAAAAAGGACTTGTGCCCCATGCTTGGTAACTTTTTTTTATAAATTTGCTATTATTTGTTAACTTTTAGTATTGGTTTAGAGCTGGTTATATCAAGTGGGTGGGCCAAGTTCATGACCTTGACTTAGTTATAGTTCATATTTTATTTTATTTATTTGTGTTCTATCAAAAAATGAGGTATATATAAGAGCCTATCGGATACCAATAAAACACTAGTGTCTAGAGACAGCACAAGGAATAAATTATAAGGGGTTATAATAGGCAATTTCTTAGTATAAAAGAGTACTACATAATATTCTTTTTAGATAATGTATAAACAAATTAAAAACGTATATATAAAAAAAAAAATTTAGGCACAATAAAATTACTTAAGAATAAATAAGGATTTCTACTTTAGTTCATTTCTCAGTTGGTTACTTTGATTGCTTATAATTCGTTAATAAATTATTAAAAATATATACATATACAGAGTGATCAATCTATCATAAGACACTCATTACCTAGAAAAGTATTAACATTTTTGGAATTTGTTTTCTAGAAAATTTAAGAAACAAGTTGCTCCACAATTTCATATTAGTGTTATTTTTTGTCACCCTTATTTTTGAGGGTGAAACGACTACCTAATTTTGATTTTTAAAGGGCAATCTATACTGAAAATTTTATAAATAGATGAAGTAGTAGTTAAAATGCATTTTGGTGTTTAAATTTTTAATTTCTGTCAATCTGTTAACGAGATATTCGACTTTTAAGTTTAGGTCAGGGAGAAAAGTGGTACATTAAAAAGCTGAAGCTATGCCGCCACACAAATAATGCTTTACTACTCTCCCCGACCCAAACTTAAAAGTCGAATATCTCGTCAAAGGATTGATAGAAATTAAAAATGTAAACACCAAAATGTATTTTAACTACTACTCCATCTATTTATGGAATTTTCAGTGTAGATTGTCATTTGAAAATCAAAATTAGGATGACAAAAAAAATAATATAAAATTGCAAAGCTGCTTGTTTTTAAAATTGTCTATAAAACAAACATCAAAAAAGTTAATATTTTCAGAGATACGATAGATTGATTACCCCGTATTATACATATATTTATTTATTATTTATTATTATTATACATAATGTACTTTTTAAAAACTATTAGATTTTAAATTATTGAATATATTGTTTATTGTATAAAGAAAATTTGAATCACACAATAACTGATTAGTAACACAGTCTTAAGTTTGGTAATTCAACTTTTACCAGCAGTGTTGTTTTAATTTCTTACATATTAAATAGCTTTTGTGGTAAAGATCAAGTATAATTTTATAGATATTAGAAAAGCTTTGATAAAGTGGACTACTTTCTGAGATTTACTCTTACATTGTATATAGAATGCAAGTTATAAAGATTTATAATATAATCTTCGATCGATTCCCTATTACCTCTGGAGACCCTTAAGGTCCCTCAATTTAAAATCTTCAACTCAATTGGTAAGTGGATAACTAAGGTGGAATTCCTCCTATTTGCTGATGAAATCAAAATATATTTGAGGATTAACACCCTTATAGATTGCCTTCTATTCCAGGTTGAGCTTGATATATTATGCATTTGGGCTGAGTATCTTGGTTTAACTTTTAACCTCCATAAATGTAATATAATGACATTTTAAAGGAGTTGCTCCCCTATTTATCATAGTTATTTATTTAATAGTACTTTACTTCAGTGAGTATATTGTGTAAAGTAACTTAGAATCCTTATGCCTTCTTTAAATTTTGAACACAATATAAACAGGCAGTTGGAAAAATTTGAAAAGTCTTACGGTTCATGAAAACAAAAAAACTGTATCTTTTACCTTCCTTAATTTTCTTTGCATTCTTTACTTTGCCTTGGTATGCTCTAACATAAATACTGTCCTAGTTTGATTCTAAGGCCTTACTTTTCAATATCTTAAATCTGTATATTTGTCATGGTTACATTTTTATATTATTCTATTTATGATATAAATGCCAAATGGCTATTATAAATACAATGGCTAAGATATAGAGAAACTACAATAAACTAATAATTTAAAAAGTGTAAATACTATAGCAGTTGGGCACAGTTAATGAAAGTTCTAGAATAGACAGTAAACAAAAGAAAATTGAATGAGTAGTATGATGTGGACAAAGGTTATCAATAAATGCTTAATAAAACTTAAAACTTTTAGTTATCTATTAATGACAATATCTATATGATGGTTAAAAATGAGAAAGCTTCTGTAGTGAATACCAAGGTCTTTGATAATGAAAACACATTCTAGTTGTACCAGAGTATTATGAATTAAGTTCTTGATCAAGAGAAGGTACGCACTTTGCACTTACCAACATTGAGAGAAAGACCTAATTGGGAGACCAATCACATATTAAATTGAATAATTTCATCTCATCAACTTGAGTTTTAATTTTATAAAATCTTTTAATACCATTGGCATAAAAAAGAAATTAAGTTTTATTTATATAACTAGAGATAAAGTTTACATAGAGGTAAAACAAAAATGAACTTAAGTGGCTACTTTGTGGTACACCAGAAATTTCATCAACCAAGTTAGATGAAATACCGTTAAGTTTAACAAATTGTTTCCAATCAGAGAGGTAGGATTGAAACCATGATAAAAGAGGATCACCAATCTCAATATGGTCAAGTTCACTAAAAAGTTAATTATGAGGTACAGTGTCAAATGCTTTAGAAGTCAGTTAGAAAGACCATCAAGTTTTACCGACAAGTTCATATATATGGTTAAATGTGAATCATTATGAACATAGGAAGAATCTTTTTTGGCATATATTATTTATTCTCTTATTTAATCAATGTTTCTTGAGAAATTTTAATTTTAATATTTTGTTGAGAAAAATCATAACTGCTTTTTAACATTTTTGGTGACTAGTTTACGATTTTCATTTGATGGAACAAGAACATTGCATTTCTGTTCATATAACACTTATACATTTAAATCAAATAATAAATTAATTTTTTACAAATGTGACAAACATTCCCTGGAGGCTCATGAGTAAAACAACTATATTAAGATTCCTAAAAGTTATTGTAAAGTAAAGGATACTAAGATGTATCTTTATTATATAGATCTTTATAAATTTCGTCATATGAACATCCAAAATCATAAATATTTGGTTTGTCAGGTGTTATTCCGGGTAATTTCACTTTATCACCAGTTCCAAATGATCGAACATTAAAACCTTTCTTACTGAAAAAAAAAAAAATAAATTGAAAAGTGAAAAAAATAAATTAAATTAAGCTTTTAAATAATACTATGATAATAATATAATTTAATGCAATTTTAAGCACAATAGAAATGTCAGTCAAATATTGATTATCCAAGTAATCAGATTATCATTACACTTTGAAAAATAATAAGCAACCCTTCCTAAAATATATAATTGATAAAATAATGTTAGGTATTAAAACTATTATAAATTACCAATCAGATAAACAATACATATAAATATACAAACAGTAAATGGATCATCCTGCATGTGTACATTTTGTTTAATTAATTTCCATACTATGAAAAAAATTGAACTGTTAACATTTTCTTGTTTTTTCTTAATTTTTCTCCAATTATTAAAAAAATCAAACATCAAATTTCTTATGCACTAACTAGAAATGAATGGAAACTAAGTCACTCGTACTTATTTGTTGATACATGCATATTGAGTGAAGCATACCAAGTGATGTAATATTATACAATTATCTTTACACCATCGTTTTAGTTTAATAATTTTATAAAGGTCTCAAAAAAAATAATAATGAATAACTTTATGGTACCTAACTAATGTTGTCCACTGTCACATTACATCATAATATCCTACTTCAAAGTGCTATAACTTTGAAACAAAGTCCAACCAATAAATTTTGATTGTACCTACCTTCATATTCAATGTCTAAAAATACATTTGTTGAAAATCTAATAATATGCATAACTAAATTTGTTTTTTTTCCTTGATCTTTTTTTATCAGTTACCCATAACATCCAAGCATAATTGTATTTGTTTTATTTTACTATTAATTAGTATTGGTGGAGAAAGTTGAGAAACACAGTTCTATTGGAATATTTTTGGCTATTTGTAAATCATATTGTTTAATCTATAGATACCTTTTAATTAAGGAAAATGTTAATTGATAATAGGTATAATTAATTAATACCTATCTATAATTAAGTACTAATAAGAGCAATGACGGAACAAAATCAGAAAAAGGTAGCTAGGAAACCTCCCTCCAAAAATCAAATATTTAATAAAATTACTACCCTATTTTATTAAATATTCGTGTTCATTATGTATAAGCAATTTGAATAGATAGGTAATAAATTAACTTATCTTACCTTAAAAAAGCATGAGATTCCATACTACGATTCATATTGCTTGAACAAACCACAGCTATTGTAAAAGCCTCAGTCGCCATAGTTAAAATGGGTTTTTTTTCAAGATTGCCAATAATGCCTATAATATTTTATCTATTACAAATTGAATTTTATTTATAAATAATATATTATTTATAATGATAAATAGGTACTAAATGTATAACCAAAGAAAATGTTAGTTCTGTGTCTGTTTGTTACATACTTATTACATTAAAATTACAAGTATATTTTTACATCAAAACATTGATAATATGTTACGTAATACATACTTACTCGAATAATAATCAATTTAAATTTAGAATTTCATATTACTAATTTTAATGAGAAATTTTTTTATCTACCTACCTGCCTATATTCTCATAAATCAATATTACTAAAATCTAGACTAAACTTATGTCACTCATGATAATACCAAAATTTGATAACAGAGCAGTATTACCACAGAATAGATAGAATACTACAAACTATAAAAGGTGGAAAGTTATGAAGGTACAGTGGCGGATCCACGGGGTGGGGTTTTTTAATGAACCAACAGTAAATGAACATTTTTATATGAAATACAGTTTTACCATAACTAGAAATTGCCGATATATAATATAAGTATATAGTATAGTACTCGTATAAGTTTTCTATAAACAATGTTCACTGGATAATATTTTATGATTGTTTTTAGCTGAGTGCATTAAACGAATATAATTCTGGTCATAAAAGTTAGTTGGCACACTTATTATGACTTATTATGACTAATTTAGTATTTATTTTAGTGTATGTTCAAATGTATGTAAGTTTTAGATTCTGAGTGAAGTGAGTGAGAAATGTATTGATTTTACAATGATGTTCATTTTTTTTTATACTGTGTATAAAATTTCTCCTAGAAATATTGCTCAACCAATACACAATAGAAGATTTTTTTTGTTGAATTTTGGCTCTAGATTCTTTATCAATACTTTAGAAAAGTCATTTTTTTAGTTTCTAATTATTATTTGAGATAATGAGGAAAAGCTGATTCTTTAGGGTTAAAAGATTAAAAATAAAATTGGTATTGGCAACCGTTTTTATCTATTTATCGTTTTATTATTTTAATATTTTAACCTTTTTAAACAATTATTGGTGTCGTCAAATCTCACCAAAAAAAGCAATACTATTTACCGAAGTCCGCTCAGAATCGTTTTTCGTTAGCAATCATTAATCGTTGCGTACAGATATAAATTAAATTCCTTTCTATATCTTCCTTTCCTACTCACCTACAACAGTGATCCACTCGTGGTGCGAAGTATGTCTTTTTTGTAAGTATAATGGTATTTTAAATAGACACCTAAGGTACCTATTTTGAATATTTTTGATAAGTATGTTTTAGATTTTAATATAATATTACTTTTTGACATTTTTTTTTATCGAGATTCCTCTTAATAAACTAGCCATTTTTATCTCTTTTCCGGTTTTTCATCTACACAAATCTCATCGTTAATATTTTTTTACTACCTATATATCTTAAAATTTTACCTTATTTCAATATCCCAATATTCTTAATCATATTTTCTCTCGTTTTTATCTCCTTGTACAACTTAGCCTGTTCATGCAACCATCTTGATATTCTCATTTCTCATTCTCTTTTTAATTTTACTTTCGTTACTATTTCATCTCTTTTATTCAATGCCCGTATAGTCTCACAACTACAATTTAAAGTAATTTATTATTGTAGATATATTATACATATTTAACATTAATAATTATGATTGAATCCTTACTTTCTAGTTATCTGGAGACATGGCAACTCGGGGTCTTTTGATTTTAATATCTTGCGCGTGCTGTGTCTACGGCGAATACGTTGAACCTGGTCCTAGGTACAGATGTCCCAAACTGGGCAGTCTTTCCGAATTAGCGCTTCACCCTTGTCGGTGCACTGGAGATTCCGATGACGGATTGGCGTTGCACTGTGAAAACAGCAACTTGGCCACAATATCCGTTGGGCTGTCTAACGTCGCATCACTCGGAAACATGGTCGTGGACAATCTAACCATATCGTCGTGTAATATCGGTAAAAAAAGATCGTAAATATTTTGTATGAATGTTTCAGTTATTAATAGTTTTATTTTTTTGTTATGACATTACCATTATCATTTTTATATTATATATTGTAATAACTCTATAGGATTTATCTGCAGGATTTGACAATATGTGTGTGTATAAAAATAGTCAAATCCAGATACATTCTAAACCTATAAGTGGGGTGGCCAATATGAGTATGATATTCGTGAGTCACACGGATAAACACGACGATATCAAGAGCTCAAATATTTATAAATACATTTTATAATTGTATGTAATTGACCTAATCTGTACATTTTGACTACATTTTTTCAAATACTAGAACCGATCACAATATTTTTAATAGAAAAAAAAAATTCTTAACTTTTTAATTCTTATTGGTTAAGAGAGATATGTTATTTTTCATTAACATCATGCAACATTTAGCAATGTTAAATCTGTCTTTTCAAATTTAAAATAAATTGGTTAGTGACCTAGGACAAAATATAGTAGTTAGTTTTCAAAACAAACTAAAACTTTTTATAAGAGATTTAAAATTAAATAATTTGGTTCAATTTTCATGTTTGGGAAAAATATAACAGTGTTTGATTGAATCAGAAACACAAATTAATTGAAACGATTATGCTTGTTCAAACTTTAATTTTGTAACTTGAATTTCTGTTAGCCGATTTCGTAGAACAATTTCAAGACTTAAAGGTTTAAAAGCCTTCATTCGAATTTTTAGAAAATCCGTTTTTAGTTATTGATATTGAAAACAGATTTTCAATATCACATCTTATTGTAACAAAATAAGACCGATCTCAAAATAAAATTCTTATAATTATTAGAAGATGAAAGTCTTAAACAGATTAAAAACAATTACCCCTCTTAAGATCTCCACAGATCTTAAGAAACTCATGAAAAAAATAGTCCCGAAAAAAATATCACGCAAATAAATTTTGCTTAACATTTATATTTTATTCGTCATTCATATATATATATATATATATTTTTTTTTTTGCTTATTTATCTGTATTTTATAATTCTATACGATATAAACATTTTTTTTTTTCATAATAATAAATTGTATATTAAAAAAAATTTTTAAAAGTAATAATAATAATTGTGGCTCGTGACCTGTAAGTTACTTACCTACCCTATACTCTAAACTATACAGTCTATAGTATAGTGAAAATAATTATGATGGGATTTCCTTTGTCATAAAATGTTTTTGTTATTACTTATTACCTATAACTGCTATATTATGTCTTATTTATATTATTGTTGTACATAATTGATAATATATAAAAGATCAACAGTTTTGAATATTATTAAATAATCATTTATTTTCAAATATACGTTTTTTCTAACTTTTATATTTTTTTGAAGAAAAACAATATTTATTTAGTAGTTTGTCATTATTGGTACCTATAATGAAATATTAATGTAAGCAGGAAACCATTTTAGATTACATATTAAACAATATTAATGATAATAATTTTTTAAAAAAAACGCAACTTATTTTTTACATGGATAAAATTATTTTAAAGGTCGTTTATTCGGAGATATATTCTATTCGACTCCTGTGAATAGATTGTTCGTAAAGGACACGCCGATAATGACATTGGATGAAGATTTATTTTTCGGAATTAATCACACGCTATTCGAATTGCATATTGTGAATTCTAAATTGGCCGAATTTCCCTCGGGTCCTCTAAAAGTAAATATGAATGATTATTTTTTGTTTCTATACTATTTTCTTGTGTAGAATATGTATAAATTGTCTACGTTACATATATATTACAGATATTGGGTAATTTAAAAATACTGAATCTGGATAAACATGCCATATTCAACATACCGACTAATGCGTTCACTTCTAGCCAATTGCCAACTCGTTTGGAAAAATTGTACATAACAAATGGGAAGTTAACTACCCTGTCTCCGGAATCGTTGGCTCCGTGTAAAAAATTAAAGTACCTCAATTTACAAGGAAACGGACTAAAAACTTTGCAGAAAAATCAATTCAAAGGACTGAGAGATGTGGAAACATTAGACTTATCTAACAATAATATTACTAAAATAGATTCTTCTCATTTTAGTGATTTAACAAAACTCGTGTCGATTAATTTGGCTAATAATTCATTACCTGCGGTTACAAGGTTTTATTTAAATTTCAGAAATACATAATTCTAATATATTGCGTTATATAAGGGTCACAAATATATAATTAATTTTGTGTTTATTATGTTGAAGAGGAGCTTTTGCAAGAAACACATTACTACGTGTTTTAAATCTGAGTTATAACAAATTGACAAAATTGGACTCTGAATTATTTCGCGGTATGCGTTTTCTTCGGAGGTTATATCTTAGTGACAATGAAATTGTTCAAGTCGAACGAGGAACTTTTTCGTCAATGACGAGAATCGGAACAATAGATTTGGCTAGAAATCGTATGAAGATTATTGATTATCAAATGTTTTCTGGACAAAATTACGTAGAAGTATGTATATATTTTTAATTTAAATTAAAATATTTCAATTTAAAACACCTACGTAGGTATAGGTACCTAATAGAAATAACTTCAATTTTAGATCATTGATTTGTCCGAAAACCAAATAACAAAAATTGAAAAACTATCATTTAAAAATCTTTATTTGGTTCATATTAATTTGTCAAAAAACAACATATCGGAAATTGATAGTGAAGCATTCGAAAACTGTGCAAACATCACAATTTTAGATATGTCGTACAATTCAATATCTAATATCCCGGCCACTGTATTCGATAATAATACATATGCTACAGTATGGCAATTATCTTATAACGATTTAACAGATATGTCTCAAGTAAGTTATTTTTTTCTTCTGTTAAAATCATTTAGGTAAAATAGCAACACCCCGGGAAAAGGAAACACTTGTACAACAATAATACTTAACTGCAGCATTGAACATAAATGCTAGAGAATCTAGGGGGTCTGTCTATTCGCAGTCGATTAGAGCAGTAGTTTTCAACTTGGGGTCACGAATGATAGTTAGAGGTCACCAAAAATCATAAGTATCATATGTATAGGGTGGTCATAAATGAAAAAAAAATTAGGGGTCGAAATTCGTAAAAGGTTGAAAACCACTGGATTAGAGCACTATCGTTATTATTTAGTTATTATCATCCAACATGTATAATAATGTAGAATATAGATGAAAAAAAAATTTTTTTTTACAAACGTGAAGATCGTTGTATAAATGTAAAAATATTATTAAAATACTGATAATTATACTTAAGTTTACTATGTAGTCTGATAACACATTTTTAATCCGAAAATGTTAAGTTATAACAACATTGTATTTTATTTTCTCATGAAGTAGAAAGATATAAATTAAATTATAATTTTAATTTATCTACATAAATTTAATGCATGCTAAAAGCGTTAAAAATTTAAATGAATATACTTGTAAAGTAGTGAAGTATAATATTATATGTACAATGCATGTGCTTTATAGGAAAACAGAAAGGTATCATCCTGTGTCCCTAAGAATTTAGTGAAGGCGTACCATCTTTACATAATATAGGGAGGTATATTTAATATTATAAACAAATATTTACAAATTTTAGGTACCAGTTAGTAACATGGCAGGCATAAAAATTTTAAACGTGACCCACAACCGAATTAAGGCTATACCCAAAGGAACGTTTCCAAAGCTATATGAGCTCCATACGCTGGACTTTAGCTATAACCGTATAAAAACTATAAGCCCGGCCGTGTTCCAGCCACTACTGAGTTTGCGGTCCATCAATCTCAGCCACAATGCATTAGAAGACTTGAAGTCTACGACATTCGGCACTTTACCAACTGTACTCGAATTATTTTTGAACGAAAATTCAATAAAGAAAATCAATGCTGCGACATTCGTCAAAATGTCGTCGCTGAGTCACTTGGATTTAACAAATAATAATATTGTTCAAATACCGACGATTCCCATTTCACTGTCAAGTCTGACCGTAAGTCACAACAAAATCCAAGAGGTTGGGCCGGATAGAGCTTGGCCGTCGATGAATGCACTACTTTCATTAGATTTGAGTTACAATCAGTTAGGCGATAGTCTGAACGGTGAATCGTTTTCGAAATTGTTGTCTTTGCAAAGTTTAATTCTGGATTATAATTCAATAACAAAACCGCCCGCCGAAGCGGTGAGCAAACTTGTTTCAACCAGGCATCTATCGTTGAGAGTAATAATAATGAATCGCATTAAAACATATAATTTGTATTTCAATAATATATATATATAAGTAATATTATTTTAATGTTGCTTATTTCAGGGCAACAGTATTTCAGAACTCAGTTCTAAGGCATTCGGTGTGTTGCCCGTAGTGTTTTATCTAGATTTATCACAAAACAATATAACCAAAATAGAATCTCAATCGTTTGACGGACTTTTACAACTACAATTATTAAATCTTACGGAAAACGGTCTAGTTGAAATACCTAACGGAGCGTTTAAAGGCGAGTTTAATAAATTTGATAGGTAGTCTATTACATACAGTGTTAAAAAATGTACATGTATACAATTGTAACTGCATAGTGTATAATCTACATTTTTATTTACAAAATATTGTGTTAAACAACATAATTTTTTTTGTTTTATAATTTACACTGTATAGATCATACATTTATAACATTTACATGTATTTGTATTATCCTTAGGCTTAGTGTCTTTGACGACTTTAGACGTCTCGTATAATCAATTGAGTTCTTTGGACAACAAGACAAATAGTTTATTGGATGATTGTCTTTCTTTAAAACACGTAAATAATAAGTTACCTAAATATCTATTAAAGTATTATTTATACAATTTAATTAATAATAAATAATAATATTCTATAAATTTGACAGTTGAATTTAAGTCATAATCAGTTTTCATTTTTCACCAAAAAATCATTTCCGAATCATATGTACACACCTAGTTATTTAGAATCTATCGACATGAGCTTCAACGAAATCCCAATTGTAACGTTAGAAATTACTATCGGGACGAGCAAAGTTAAATATCTTAACTTAAGCCACAATTCTATTGACGAAATACGGCCAGGTATAATATTAATAAATACACATATGAGTACATTTTATCAATAAATTATAGTATACTTGTTATATAATATGTATGTTTTTTTGTTTAGGTGTACTTGGAAACTTAACATCGTTAACGGTATTAGATTTATCGTTCAACAATTTGGGAACAATGAACAAAGTAGGAAATTTACCTAAGAATATGACTACCTTGCTGATATCTGATAACAAATTGACCAAACTTTCGAAAGAAATTATTAATTTCGTTCCAAATTTAAACAATTTTAACGTAGAAAACAATAAATTTAATAATTTCCCGCCTGCCTTGGCTAAAATCTTGTCTAAAGGACCCACGATTTCATTTAAAGGTACTTATGGTTGTTGTATTATTATTAAAAATCGAATTAAATATAACAAATTAATATATAATATAATAATTCAGGTACCTACCTATCATAAAATCAAGTTTTATAAAAGTAATTTTGTACTTATCATATTATAAAGATAAAATTGAATTAATATTGAAATATATATATAAAATTGGTATATATAAATTTAAATGTGAATGTAATACATTTTATATAGGTAAGATAAATAGAAATTTTAAAGTAAGATATAAAGAACATATTTCTGAAATAAAATTTAAAAAGGGTGCCCCTAATTCAAATTTCGCTAAACATGTTTTAGAAAATAACCATAATATGAGTTTTGATATTAATACAGACTTAGAAATATTAAATACTCAAAATAACATTAACATTAATTCAGTTTTAGAAGAATTACGCGTACCTAATGATAAAGAAAAATAATTGTAATAATATTTTATATGTTCAAATAGATTTTAAAAATAATATCTTATATCAATACATTTTAGATAATAAATAATAACCAAATAATTTATATTTCTTAACATCTATGTCTAATAATAACTAATTTTAAATAATCTTTCCTATTTAAAAAAATTATTTCTATATTCTATGTAAAAAGACCAATTTTGTAAGTTTTTTCTATGTTTTCCTTCATTTAATTTTAGATTCTGAATGTAGCGCGGGAGCTATTAGTTTTACCAGGAAGTCTTTTTTTTTTTTACATTTTTTCTTCTAGTCTGTGGACACGTTTTTTCCTAATAAACTTGCTCTGATTTTTACGTGTAGCAACTTTTCTCAAGTTGTTTAGATGGTACTTTAAAAAGGTCATTTTTTTTTTTTTTTTTTGATTCTCGATGCCATAGTTTAAATAAAAGCACTTAAATGGGATAAAAACGTAGAAAAACATACAATTTCATGATTTCATTATTTTATAACAAGACGAACTACGTTTTCTACCAGAAAAAAATATTTAATCGAAAAATTACAAGACACTTCTTTTGTTGTCTTTTTGGTTTACTTTCTTATAGTATCATCGCCAAAACATTTTTGTTGCTAAAGACCGAATTTATATGTTCTTAAAATCTACAAGTTACACTTGAAAATGTCAAAAAGCTTTGAAAAAAAATCACTTGAAAAATGTTTAAAAACTTAAAAATAATAAAGGGGGTTTAATTATCTCCCTCTTTAACGGATTTTATTTATAAATACAATTTTCTAACACCACAAAAATGATTAATAAAAAGTAATTTTTTTTTTATAGTACGTAAGATTGTATTTAAAAGAAATTATTTTGTATCAATTATGAATCAATTTTGTAGAGTTAGGAAATTTAATTTAATATGTTAGAGTCATTAGTGGGGAGATTTTAAACTCCTTTATTATTTTTGCTTTTTTAAATGTTTGTAAATGCTTTTTTCAGAGATTTGTAAAAGCACCTTTTTGTGGATTATAAGAAAATATAAATCCAGTCTCTAAACTAATATCTATTGCGTATGTATAAATACTAATATAACCATATATATTCAAATGAAGTAGGTATCACATTTTTCATGAATTGTTGGAGTACCTGTCAAAGTTAGTATTGAAAGCTTTTGTACTAATTAAAACGTAAAAAATATATTTTGTACAATTTTATATAATCAGTAATAAAAGAATAAATAATATTACATTATAGGATAAAATATAATATCAAAAAAAAAAAAAAACTATTCTAAAAAATATGATAAATAGAAAGTAGAAAAAAATCTAAACAATTTTTATGAAACCGACTTTTGTAAGCTTGACATAATTGTAACTTTTAAACAATAACATACGTACATATCTGTAGGAAATCCTATCGAATGCGATTGTACGCTAATTCCAATCAAAAGAATGTTAAACTCTAAACTGAATCCAGACCCACAATGGACAAATATAACGTGCGTACAATTATTAACCTCAGAGGTGTCGTATGTGTCAGATTTAAGCGAAAGTGAATTGATTTGCGATGTACCTATAGACGACGGTGATGATTTTTTTACTGTGACGCCCGACGTAAAATTTAGAGAAATGAAAAAGTAAATTGCTTCACATTACAACTTATAACTTTCATACAAAATTTTTGTTTTATTAAAATGCACCGTGCACTTTTGGTATAGAATTGGAAGCAGCTATATAAAAATCGACTGGCTCGTGGTTCAAAATAAAGAAGATATTGCTGATTTCATGATATTGAGCGGTGATGAAAAATTAGAAAGAAGGGATTATTCCAAATTGGTTCCTTATAATTTACGATCGCAAACTATAAAAAGCCAATTTGTTAAAGTAAACTAAAAATAAAAATACATATTTATTTTCAATAGTATGAAACTTTAACTATATGGTAAATTTTATTATAACTATTTTTACTATTTCATAGGATTCGACGAAATTATGCATACTACCAAAAGATAGCTTCGGCAACGAGAGATCGATGAAAAAAGGACAATGTATTGATATCGGACAATTGGCTACAAATAATGCCAATCGAAATCCGAAAAAAATATATTTGTTTTACGTGATATTATTATTATTGATTGCACATATGACATTTTAATAATAGTAAAAAAAAAAAAATGAATTTCCAATTTGTTACATTTAATTTGTCCAACAAAAGAAACATTTGCTCAATTTTATATTGATATTATCATATGTTGTATTTTTTATTTTTATAGTTACCACTTATCATAAATATTATTATTGTAACATTCTATATGATATAATCAGGGACGGTGTTAATATAATTTACACATGTGTAATATCATATTTTACCAATCTTATATAATCCACTAGAATATTAGGAGGGATGGCTTATATTTTTTACAAGTAAAAAAAAGTCGTTAAATCTTTAAAACTTTTGCGCATCTAATAAATTATCTTATAATTTAAACGTGCCTCTTCATTAAATAAAATAGGGTATTGGTATACAAATATATTTGCTAACCTTATCTGAAATTCCATTCAATATACTAATATTTTACTATACAATATTTGTTTTAATTATTTTGTGCTTAAATTCCAGTATGATATAAGGCATCTTTGTCTGCAATTATTAATACATCATTAAATCTATTTTATTGTAGTTTATCATATTTTATTTATACATGCAATATTTTAATATAACTGGCTTTTCAAAAATAAATAGTGATTATACATTTTAAAAAAGTCGGATATAATTACTTCGCATTGTTGTATATAGGTGACTAGTTTTAAGCATAGTAATCATAATTAATTATTATAGGAGTATAGGTAATAAGAACACGGTCAGAAAGAAACATGCTGAGATAACAGAATGGAAATAGATACCTATATAAGACAACGTCCACTAGAAAGAGGCTGTTCCATTTTCACAAGCTTTAAAGAACAGCAGTTGGGAATGACGATTGTTTGTTAAAATCTGAGTAAATTTTAATATATTTCAAACTGTTTTTCGCACCTACTTACCTGTGTTTATTTTTGTTTTATTTTAATTTTAAAAATATATATCTAAGAATATTTTTGTAGTGTATTTGAGACGTTTGTGGCAGTAAACCAATTTTTCAAGATAGTAAGACAGTGTTGTTATTATATCTCATCCAGTACTTGTTATCGTGGTCAGTTAAGATACAGTGCATTATTGTCCTAGTTAAGAGACCTCACGCTCGAACATCCAGCACTCGTTATCGAGGTCAGTTGTTTGAGTGTAAAGCGACTGATATCGTTATATCGTATAAATCCTAAGGGTTTCTTAATCAACCATTATTTTGTGCAGTACTCGTTATCATGGTCAACAAAAGAGTAGATTTTTTTAGTTCCTTTATAACAGGTATAGATTTGGGCGTAACTTGAGCATTCGGTATGGGGGCGCAAAGTTTATTTCATGTCAGTAAACCTAAGGGCTTATGAATATGTTTAGAAAACATATTATTAATAATTATATTAATAATGGTATTACAAATTACATAATGAGTCAATTATTAAATTAAAACTAATTTTTTATGTTAATTGTATGCTTCTTCCTCTTCCTTTTGAATCTGCATTAAACTGGTTTACAATTATTTCAAAATTACTTTTATAAATTTTTTCAATATGTATAAAGTAGCCATATTGCTCAGTATTTGAGTACTGTTTCTCGTAAATGTTTTGAGGCGACGAAGAGATGAAAATTAACGTTCACTTGAAGCAAAACTCATTTGTATTGATAGAAAAATGTAATAAATAATGTATATATTGTCAAATTAGCCTAGTAAGTCTTTTTCCAAATGAAAATTGAAATGGGCTTTAAAATTTTAGGAATTTGTTGAACACGTTTTTCCAAATAGTTTTAATTCTGCCTTTAAATCATTGTGTTCAATACTGTAGATGTTACAAACTTCTAAAGTATCTTCATTTCTGTTATTTCTGGTATCTACTTAAACAATTCCAAAGAGCGTTAAGTATTTTCAATTGGTTTTCGGCAAATTTTATTCGTAGATATATCATTTATAATTAAATCCAATACAGGGAAATAAATATCAATTTTATAATAAGTTGTAACGTTTCTTACAATTAAAGTTTCACCACCAACTAATCTTGTAGATATATTTCTGATTCTTGGGATAACAGATGGTGAAATAGATTCTTTGGAAGCTGTTCTGCTGTTCTAGCTGTTTTGTTTTAACCCAAAACGATCATCACTTCGAAGATATTGTATTTCCATAAGAGTAGCATTTGTTAATATTGAAATGGTTGAGTAGTTAGTATTTTTTTTTAAAAAATGTAATGATAAGTTGTCGGTCAATTCAAAAATTAACTTCATTAACTTTAAACAAAAAAAAAAAAACCTCAAACTTTTGAATATTCACTAATATTGAATTGGCATCGAGTCCATGAATAGAGTCCGTTTCATTAATTTTTCTAAGGTTGAAACAATAGTGTTACAATTGTTTATTACAGACCGAATAGCTTCAATTCGACAATTCCGTTTAGTGTCACTAAGTAATTTTATAGTACTGGTGGATTATTTGATTTCTTCTGTATATTTTCAAATACCTAATATCTTCTTGAAGCTCCTATGAATGTATAAATCTTATTTAGAGTATCGAATATATTGCGAATTAGTACTATTTTCTCCTTGACATAACTATACACAAATTATGCACATGAGTATAGCAATGTACATTTAGAGCTAGTTTATTTTTATCTTTAGTCATTGAAGCAACCTCTGAATATGAACCACGTATCGAGGCGGCACCGTCGTAGCATTAACCTCTAATATTTTCAATTTGTAAGTCTAATGTTAGCAAAGTATGTTTAAGTAAATTTGAAAGACTCTTCATTAATTTTAGCTGTTCTCAAAATAGATAGCGACACATAAATTACGACCGTATTATCAACTATATAATATAGAATATATAGAAGCGACACTCATTCAAGTAAGAATTACGGACAAGTATCTACCTGGTTGGTTAATAAATGATAATATTATAATCTAACTATCGTTTTTGATTTTCGTTGGATCACTACGCACTCTCTTGCTGGGAAACCGTGGACACAAGGGAGGAATTTCCCCGTTTAATTTTGGCAAGCGAAAAAAGGAGTGGAAAACTATTTGTCATTTCAGAAGAGCTTGTGCAGCAGTTTTGTATGTTTAGATTGATTCCATATTGGATTAGCATATTCGTCAGCAGAGAAACAAAGTACTAGTCCTGTAGTTCTGATCGTATTTGGAGTCACACCCCATTTGCTACCTGCTAGTTTCCGTATTAGGTTGTTTCTTGCTTCGACTTTCATTTTAGTATTTTTACACTATTTCTTGAACATGAGGGTTCTCCAATGTAACTCCTAGGTAAACTGGATATTCTGTGTTTCCCAGTATTTTTCCAAGTCACTCAACGTTTAGTTCTCTTTTTGCCTCACAGTATCGGATATGAAAACTGCATACTTGTGTCTTATCGGAATTGGGTCTTAATTGGTTTTTCATATAATTATTTGTTAATTCTTGAAGTGATCAGGTAAGTTTACATTCAACTAGTTGGAAAGTTGTGTCCTTTGTTGCTAGGGCCAAGTGATCTGCGTATAAGAAGTGTTTTGTATCTTTAATGATGGGTTGATCATTAATGTATATACTAAATATTATGGGTGCTAAAACACTACCCTGGGGTAAGCCATTTCGCTGGTTTCTCCATCTGTTCCACTTATTGTTAAGCGTGACTGTAAAACGCCGGATTTATAGCATAGAGGATATTATTTGAATAAAGTGCCAGTCATTTGTACATTCGTATATCTTTTTTAGTAGGAGATTACGATTCACCGTATTATACACTGCAGATAAATCTACGAAAACTACCTCTGTTACATTTTGTTCTCATATCCGTCTTCGATATGTTGGCACAGGTTTAATACCTGTCCCGTACAGTTTTTGCCTGGCTTAAAACCGGCTTTTATAAATATATATATAGAATATTAATATTAACATTAATGAACATAAATAGTTGGTTACTTAATTAATATTTGACTCATTAATTATTAATTATACATAAATATATTTTAATATATAGAATATAGATATTCCTAAAGATTAAATTAAACATTGTGCACTGTAAAAATCCAAATAGTTAAATGATTTTATCCAAGGAAAATTGTTTAATTTTGTTCTTATTAAATATACTAAAAAGTAAAATACTTAGCACTTTTATAAGTTACATAGTTATACATTATAATTAAAAAATATGAAAACTTTAAATTTTACAACTCAATAAATAAAAAAAATATAACAGATGCCAGTGTTTTAAACACTTTTAAACGTATGATTTGTATTTTATAGCTAACTTAGTTACCTTGTTGGGTATTCTCAGTTTATTGCATTCTATGATTTTAATATATTATTATCCATTTGTATATAAGTATGCAGTTTTAAAGTGATTTTAATATAAAAATAAGATACCTAATAATAAACTGATAAAAGTCAAATAATTATTATTGTTAAAGTGTCTGAAAACAAAACTTGCATAACTTAAATAAAAAAAAAACACTATTTTTACACATCATAACGTATATTTTCTATATATTTCGATGAAATAGTATGAAAAAAGTCTATTAAAATATTTCAGGACACGCCCTGTGCGCACACTTATGATAAGCATGATTTAGCTGTGCAGTGTTATACCCACCACAGCAATATTCAATAAATACATTAAAAATTATACTCTGCGCATTATTTGGTTATCTTGTATGTCCGGAGTGGCTAGAAATAAGTGTAGAGAAGAATGTGTTAGTTTTACAATGTTGTTTATTTTTATTTTAGATTCTGAGTGGAGCGAGGAATGTATTTGTTTAAAAATGATATCTATATTTTTTTCTTGTGAACAACATTTCTACCAGAAATATTGCTCTGATATTCCAATATAGGACTTTTTCTGGAATAAAATCTGACTAGAGTGGTTCTTTAAGAAAGTAATTTTTTGATTTTCCAAGCTGTTTTCATAATATTTGGGATTACCCGGGTTTAAAACGTAATAAAAACAGAAAAATGTTCGATAATAATGCTTTTATTGTTTTTAATTTTGTTTTTTGCTGTAATTCAGTTAAAAATATTCGTGAAGACTTGAAATTTGGATAAAAATTTATATTTGCGTTTTCTAGATGTAGTGAAATTTTCAAAAAATGTTAGCCATTTTTGAGCTACATATAGACATTTTAATTTTTCGAGTATTGGAAGTAATTTTTATTCGGTAGATAAGATTGTGGTAAAATTGTTAGACAAAACGGAAATCCTTGAAAATTTAACAGGAGTTTCATTAAAAGTCGTATTTTGTGTTAAAAAATAAATTATAAGATTAATGTAGTATTTTTTTTTTTTTTATAAAGAAATTTTAATATCAAATTTTGACGAAATTCGTTTGAGTATTAGTATAATTATGTAGAATAAATCTAGTTACTGGTCTATGCAAATCTTTAAATTTGTTTTGTTTTGAACAAATGTATAATATATATTACTGATTTAAGAACGATGGTGAACTCAGAATTAATCATGACTTAGTTTCAAAATAATATCTTTTTCAAATTCTACCATTATGGGGGTGTTATGAATGTATGTTAAATAACTCAATATTATCAAATTTATATTGTTTCTGTTGTAATCTAGTGGTGGTACCTGTTATCATCCTAGAAATCACAAGTTCAAACACTAGTTCCGAAAAAAATGTTTTGTAAAACCATGTCGGGTTACTTATGTAACAGGGAAAAAACAAATGCATTTTGGGTGCACCTATAGAGCCAAGCCATTGCTCACTCAGACTATTTTAATCGAAAAATATCCCTCGATTTGTTATATGAACTTTTCTAGAAATCTTGCTCCAATATATCAATGATATTTTATTTATATGGTATTTTAAGAAGATAATTATTTGATTTTCTAATGGTTTTCATAATATTTGGGAAAAACCGTGATAAATGTCAAAAAAGAGGGAAAATTTACGAAAATAATTTTTTTATAATTCAATTAAAAATATTCGTAATGACTAGTATAGATCAATTAAAAATATGAAATTGTATTATAGGAAAATAT